AAAACGCTGTTGATAAATGTTTATGTCAAATTTATTTACAAATAGAAATTATCTTTATGATTGATAAACAATAAATAATTATTTAAGTTAACATTACATACAAAAATTCTCTAAGAATACCTTAGTTATTTAAATTATTTTGTTAATTGTATTCACAGAATTTCAAATATTGAGGATAACAATGCCATTTATAATTTGAAATTTTGAACAAATTATCAATATTCGTGCCTTTCCTTGTTAGTTATTTTGTAATCTTCTTCATAAAACGCGATAATCAATTTCGTAAAATAAGACTAGGCAACTAGTTATAGATAAGACTAATGTAAAATCGTTATATATTATTTGACGTCTATTTTATACATACACTTAAAATATACGTACAGAAGTTTTATACGCATCATAGTATATATTTTTAATAATTATTATAAAATTAATTATGTATAAATGTAGTTTATAATAATATTAATAATATATTTTAAAATAATGCTATTATAAATGTCAAAAATTTCTAACGATATCAGTCTCTTTTCTTCTCTGAGTTTAATTGTCGAATAATTGATTGATGTCGAATTTTACAAAGCGATATCCACAAAGTCGAAAACAAGAAAGGTGTGAATATACCGATATGTATCTATTTTTAACCACAAAACAAGTCTTAGACAGATCTTAGATTGTATTCCGATTTTCTCTAACAATATTGAAAAACTATGATACCTGACACGAAATACGGATACATTTTTGCACTGGCAGTAATATCGAAATGGTACACAAAGCAGCATAAATTTAATGCAATCTTCTCTTATATAATCCATTAAAGACTAAAGGATCATCTTACATTCATCATCTACAGTACTTACAGAAGGTTTCTTGAGACGCATTTTTATTTTATATTCAGTATTCTGAAGTAATGAATTAGTAAGATTCTTACGTATCCATTTCTGCATCTGCAAAATTAACATAGTTATGTTAAATATGCATACATTCTGCAAAATTATTAATTTTAGAAAGGAAAATTGTAACATGAAACCCATGACATTATATAATAATAATATATAATATGATATTACTTGTGAATCTTACTTATGTATTCATTTATGTATTTCTTTATAGGCTATCTAATCATTATTGACAGAGAGCTTATATGCAAAGCTTATAGGCAAAGCCGATTTTATTGATAATAACTAAAAAATCTTTAGTCCGCCTCGCGACATTCGCAATTAATAAAAAGTTAATAAAAAGATAATATACGCATTTACATTGTTGTTAGGTATGCGATGAGATATTTAGGCGTGTTATCTACAAATAATGCAGTATTCGCTTATTTGTATCTAAACGTCTCGTTTCTAGCAACAATGAAAGCTTTATCCCATAGGCATACGTTTATTCACAAATTTTCATTAAATAATGACTTATTAGTAATTGGGAAATACGAAAAATACAGGATTTTTTATCCTATTTTAACAATGCAACTCTTATACAAACTTATGCCACGAAGTGAGGATCCTTTACATCACACAAGATCAGAATGTATCAAGTTTTAGAAAATACTGACGTTATTGTTTTTTTAATAAAATAATAAATAAAATAATTTTGTAAATTTATATGTTGTTTTTAATCAATAATAATACTCATACATATATTAAAAATTAATAATTTTACCGACTTTTATGAATATATAAATATAAATTATTAATTTTTTTTATATTACATATATATGTTATTTATATAATTCCTTAGTCAACAACATTAAAGTAAAATTTTTGTAACATTATGACATATAAAATATAATCAAAGTATCGTAATTTAATAAAAATATGTGAAAAGAGCTATTGTGCTTAATAAAACTTACCTCACAGAGTAATTTATCAGAATATGTATAATTTATAATACTAATTACTGCTGCGGTTGTACTAATCTCTCTAGAAAAGAAATTGCATATAATATAACAGAATAATGTAATAAAATTTTAATTAATTGTATATAAATGAAAAATTTGCATTACACATTTAAAATTTGTGAAAATATGTTATTAATTGGGTTTGATTTCTTCTAAATTGTTTAATAAAGTGTAATTAATTAAATCATCATTTGCATGTCTCTGAATAACGTAATAAAACCAATAAATATAGTTTTTAATAACAGAGATCCGTGCATTATCTTTTGTATAAGAAAAGATGTAATCATTTCTTAACTTCTTTAGCTTATTGAAGAGAGAGACAGGAGACTGTTAGTATCATTACAGCAAGCTAGAGATTTCATCATTTCTGGATATTCAATTCTCGAAACTTCATCCAAATCTATAAATAATTGGTCAAGAGAAATGCTAGATATACATAAACCATTACAGAAGGTCCATTCCCTCCACCATGGTAACAGTTTATTTTTTCTGAAATATTTTACCATAAAATTATAATTTGTGTTTTTGCATATTTTTATTTAAAGTATGATGTATATTGCAAATATAGTAAAAATATTACAATAGAAGAATTAATAATTACGTCGTATTTAACAAATGCCATTGCAATTTAAATTCAGCATGTTTTTTGCCTTCGCTATCACCGAGAACACGTATCATCGATTTGAGCACGATTTAAGACATTAATATTTGTACAATTCTCAGAATTTAAATAACGTACGATTTTTAATCAACTTTCCAAATTATAAAATATACGATAGTATCCTGTCATGTGATAAATAAATATTATTTGCCATTAAAGTGTATTAAATTATAATGTAATTGATATTAATTAGAGATAGAAATATTGCTTGTATTATAAATAATAAAAAATTGGTATTTACAAACTGATATAATTTTGAATTTTACGTCGAAAATGTTGCGGATCATTCGGTTGACAACTTTTTTATAGCGATATAATAAATTTTTATGAAACTTAACCTTTGTTTATAAATATTGCATATCAGAAAGGAATAATATCAAAGAATTTCATCATACATATAAATATAATTATTAAACTAAATGCGTTAATCGTTATTCGTTTAAGAAAAGAATAATTATAGATGGATTAAAATCACTAAAGGAGCATATAGGCAATTCTAACTTATATATAATATTAACTTGATATACAATTTTAAAGTCATATATATCCTATCTAAGAACTCTGTTACAAAAATAAGTCAAGAATTTCCTTTTTCTATAATTAACAAGTCTTCATAGTGTAAGATAAATGAATTAATGATATTCCACATTTAAATATTTGATCGTCATTTACCTGTTTGTTGCCGATTGATTATTATGAACTGACTGTGTTCAGAGTTGTAACATTTTGCAAGAAACTGCTTTTGTGCACGGGCTAAACAAAATTTGTGTAAAATTCGTTTTAAATTTATATACACTTGATTTGGTAATGGCACCGTCCAGTTTTTGGAGGCAGTTTTTAGAACAATTTTTGTCCATTTGGTACCATAGGTTTGCGTTACATTAAGAATGGGATATTGCTTTTCTTGTATCCAAGGATTCATCAGGTCTTTCACGCTAATTTTTTCCAAATCCATAGTTTGTGAATCATAGATAGATTGCATTATAGTCCAAAAATCGTCCAGACTTTCCGTTCTTCTTACAAAAATGTAGAAAAATTAATTCTATTAACCATGTATATGATAAAGGCAATATCAGCAAACAAACATGATTTTCTCGATATATAGCATAAACACAAATTTACAGCAATTTTATAATTGTCGAAAAACACGCATAATTTGCATCGTTCGCTCAATTTAGTTCTTGCGGGGCAGATGCCCGTGATTTTATTTGCGCAAAATTGCAATATAAGTTGTAAAGTTTCAACATCGAATTACACGGATTGAATTTTAATTAGGATAATAGATAATAAATAGATAAATTTTATAATAAAAATGTTTTCAATTTTTATCACTATCATCTACAAACAAAAATAATATGTAATGATATAATCGAAAAATAATTACATTAAATTTTATTGATGATTAGCCATTTAGTTCAAATATAAAATTTTTGGATAAAAAATTTTCTTCTTATTTTTAAAACATTTAAATTTTTTCTTATTTCGAGAAGTAAGAAAGTATTTGACAAAAAAAATGTTACAAAAAATAACATAGTTGTTGTACATTGCGAAATAGCAAAGAATATAGTAAATTATTATTTACATATAACCTTACATCATGTAACCTTACATGTAACGAAGAAATTAAAATAAAAAATTATTCATTTGACAAAAAGGAAAGAGAGGGAAAAGACATGATAATACTTACTCTTTTTTCATATACACATTAATCTCTTTTTGAAAAATTTCATCACCCACTGTATGATGTAGCACACGCAATATAGAAGGTGCTACAACAAATAAGCGTTATAAGATCAAACAAAAAATTATACACTAAACTTATGAAAGTTCTCAGAAATATTGATAAGACTACAATTAATTAAAAA